TCAGGTTCTCAATTAATATATATATATATATATATATATATATATATATATATATATATATATATACGTAATATCCTCCTAACCTCTCCTCTTTCTCCTCCTTGTAATATTTCGTAATTTTTTGTCAAATCTCTTACCTCCCCCTTGTGTGGCTTACACGTTATTAATGGGCGACCTCTTACCAAAATCAGGATTTTTACTAATAGTTTATTTTTGACATAATATTGCCAAAGATGAAAAATGTTTGGTGATTATTTAAAATTGAAGCGACTTAAAGATTGTAAAAGTTTCTGCTAAATAAATTATAATAAAATAAAATTAGAAATATGTCATCTTGGTCAAAAATAACTTACTGGGGCTGAAATTTTTATTTCAAATAATAGTTGTTTGATCATTCTACTTTGATTTGATGGACACAGACGTACGTAGTCGATGCATGTAAAATACTACGGTTTCATTAGCATAATCCGTGTATGAAACCCTAAAAACTAGGATTGTTCGTGACTCAAAATGTTATGTAAGGTAAGGTTGATTAACCCCGCACGAAGAACTAACCTCAGCACGCATATTTAAGGGCTGCCATTTTACACGCTTCGCATAAACCATCGTTTATTTTAATATTGTAATACAATTTCGATTAATGCCTGTAAATCACACCAGGAATGCTGATATCAACTTGTTCGATAATTGAAAAAAATCGTCAATGAAGAGAACTCCTGTGACAAAACATATTATTTTATGGAGTGAGCTACACAAAATGTGCAACATATTGCATATAATTAATAAAATATTATTCAACTGTTTTGATGCTGTCAGGATTCTAGAAATTATCAAAAGTATGTAATGAAAATAGTTGCATTTTTGCAACATATTGCAACTCCAAATATGTATTCTACAATTTGCTAAAAAGAATGGACATGCTGATGCTTTGCTTAGGAGTTATAATTTTGCTTTATAATCTCTTTTAGTTTACGAATTTTCGTTTGATAAGTTCATTGCATAAAATAAACTAATAAAGTTAAAACTATTTTAACCCGATATGAATAACTTATTTAACAGTGACACATTATTTTGTAAAATGGTTTGCAAATTCTCGCAAATGCGTTCAATAATTTTTGCAAAATATTGCTTCTAAAGCATTGCCAAAGCAAAAAATCCAGAGCAAGCCAAAGAAGGTGACCGGAAGGCTATTTCAGATATAATTTTTTTCCCAAAAATTTTGCAAATTACATATAATGGATTATAGGCGACATGTGGTCTATCTTGCTGAACCCATAAATGTTGATTAAACTATCAAAATGCTAAACCGATGGAGGGTAATGGTTTTGTAACAGGGCAATATGTTGCTCTGTATACAATGTAAAAGCATGCCCTCTTCAATCATCACAAAGTATAGACCAATATTGTCTTTTACTCATGAGGGCTTTGATGTTTCAATTTAGGATTAGTGGCACTCCAATACCTGTAATTTCACATGTTTACGAAGTAAAAGTTTACAAAGTGATACGAAAATAGAAACAAAATTCAGAAACTTCTACTGTTTCATGAACAATATAGAGTTGTAGAGAATAATCTTAAAAATTTAATTTTTAAATGGCTCAAAGAATGCAATTTGCAACAATATGTAAATCTTTTTGGAAAATTACATTGAAAAATGATTTGGGTGCATTTAGAATTTCGAGTAGGAAAACCATCTGGTTCATGAATAGATGGTCTTGCATAATCTACGTTTTTGTCAACTGAATCATATTTGATACATTGTTGAACTAGTCTTTTTAAATTTTAGTACATATCTTCTAGTCAATTGAATCGATGGTATCTATCCACTTAGGTAGAAATGCAATTTGTATAAAAAATCAATAAAGCTTTATAAAATTTTATAAGTAATATAAGTAATAAGGAGCCTGTGAGGCTTATTGTTCTGGCGTACAATTCTTACTTCTTGATTAATTTTTTTATTTTCTTAATTTTGTAAAGATATAAATTGATTTGTCGACGAAACTATACAGTACTTTATCAGTTCACGGTTTCCTTAGGGTACATTACGAATTAATCTGGATCTACGTTAAATCTGTCTCTTATAGCGCGGTATGCACTCACCGCGTTATCCGGGAGTTGACTGTATATAATTGAGATCAATAAACATTTTGGTATAAAATATAGTTTTTTCCATAGATTTCCTCAATATTGCTCAACAGCTTCGCAAAGTCGGTAGTTTTATAGTCCGGCTAGTTTTATTCCTTTGCCCATGTGTGCAAGTCCGGTGGGTTTTATTGTCTCTATTACTACTACGCTTTTACAATAAGGTTTGCATGAACCAGAACAATGTATTTAATTACAAAAGTACACGTTTAAAGCTTAGACATGCTCTGTAATTATTTTACACGGATTGTAGTAATACATTTATATATAGATACATAATGGATAGAATTTCACAACGATCATATAAACCAGGTATCAGTAAATGACTTTCACACATTTGAATTAAGGGTGTCACAAATTAATATAATAAAAATATAACAAAGTTATTTTGTAAATCCTTAGATTACATATATTATTTATAATAATTATTGCTAAAATAATTTTGCAGTTTTGTCATGGTGCTTGGTAAAGCTATTTTTCTACAGTATAAAAATTTTAGTGTAACTTATAATATTAATAATATTTGTGTGATAAATATCAATAAAAAATTGACTATCTAATCATTATTCTGATTCAACTAGATTGAGCGTTGTTTTTCTTAAAATTTACAAGTAATGCCCAATAGATAAGCATTAATTTAACACCATCAAATTTATCAATCAATATAATAAATGGTTTATTAGCAATATAAATATAAATAAATAATAATTAAAATTACATATGATCATACAGTTTTTAAACATAATGTTTGGAAAGTTATGATGATGAGACATATCATTTTTTTCAAACGACTGAAAATTAAAAAAAAAACATGAAAACTATAGTGTCCATATTCTCAAATATATACATATATATATATATATATATATATATATGTGTGTGTGTGCGCCATACAAGAAAATCAATATCCGCGAATTTCTTATTTATGATTATTTAAGGCCTACGAAAACTAAATTCACGTGCTCAATAATTCGATACATTCGTCGCATATACTAGAAATGTACAAAACATTTGCAAAAGTTGTTATTTATAAAATTGCAATCATTTTTGAAATTTTAAAATTCTATTTTTTGGTTTTATGCTCATTAAAATCACATAAAAGTTATGGTATAATATATAGAGATACGTTAAGTACTAGGATTTAGTATTATTTAATCATCATCCGCCTTAGTCGCTCCTCCCAAGCAATAGCAATTAGGATCGATATTGATCCCAATGTTCAGTATATAGAAAATCTGATAACTATATTGTTCAATTTCAGATGTTAAGATTATCTATCCCATTTTTCATTTGTAATCATGTGGCGTTTTTAGATTAGTGAATACAATTTGTGGGAAAAGCCTAAACTGTAATTGGAATTTACAGTTGTCATTTGACAATTCAATAGACTAATATGTGTTGAAGTATGAGATCTCCAAAGCATATTTTTAATATTAATAAATATTAGTCATCAAATGGGTTGCCAAAGTCTGATTTATTATTTGGTTTATGGTTTTGGCGAAACGATTGCTACCGCGTCCAATCTACTTTCTGACATCAAAACGAGTATAATGTTATTTAGTGTATTTACTACGAAGCATAAAACAAACTTTATTTATAAGATTGTATAACAAAATAAATTCAATTGTAACTGAATGGTAAGTGTACGTATACAGAGGACATTCTTAGTTTTTTTGGGTAATAAACGTAGATTTTATTCACTGTTTTATGAGACCATTCCATGGTTACAGTCGACGTTTTATGTATTTTAAGACATTTTGCCGCGCAATCGAGCAAATATAAAAACTTAATTTCATTATGAAGGATTAAGTATGGAAAGAGGAAATGACTTTTTGTTAATTACCGTGATGGAATGTATTTAAAAATAAATTGACTTGCATAATTAGCTTCAACCATTAAATTGAAAATATGTTTATATAACTAATTTTTCAGACTAAGGTATATATAATTTATTATTATGAAGCTCTCAAGTATTTTACCATCTTACAATCCTGAAAACACTTTCGTACAATTTTTTAAAGGATGGCTTTTTAAATTAGACCAATTTGAATATTTTTAATTCAAAGTTTTGCAAACAGTATTGATTCTTAAAAACTCGGGGCAATTGTGTTACTGTTTTAGCTGTGGTCTTAGAAATGTTAACAAAACTAATAAAAATTAATCGAAAAATGGTAACAGTTTGACTAAGTTAAAAACTCTTATTTTGCAAACTTTCAAAATTTCTTTCTAATTTTTTCATGATAGTTAGGATTAATACTATTAAATCTTGACTTTGAGTTCCGGGCCACTCTGTATACATGCTAACTTACCATACGGGAAGATAAAAAAGTGACACTTGGCTGTTGAAAATTGACATTAGTCACATGCACATCAAATTATCAGATATTTTATAGATATTTTAATAAGTATGTAGGTACAATATTTGTTCACATTTCTATGGGTTTTGTACTAACATTTATCCGTTAGTCTTCGACGTGGCGCTTACGCGCTTCGAAATTTCGCCTCTAAAACAGCTACGAAGCTTGATTGCTTTGAAAAAAAGTTCAAAATTTTTAACAAAAAAAAATTAAATAAAAACAAAAATGAAATTTTGCAGAAAAGTAAAAAAAATTCAAAGATTTCAAAAAAAAAAAAAATTAAAAAGTTTTTAAAAATTCTGATATCCGATACGGGAAGTACCAGCAACTTGTCTTAAGGCACGATGCCTAAATCAAGTACCTCATCCGACATATAAGGTTTTTCTTATGATAGATAATAACAATTTGATCTTCGTTCCAGAAAATATAAGAATATCCTGATAACAAATTGATTCACTTTTATAATTAATAATTTATATATGTCTATAATTCAATTTCCAGAACAAGGCGAGAGTATGGCGCGCGATGGCGAGATTCCGGCCATCTTCAACCCGCGGCGAGCCCGCACACCGAGCGTCGTTCTTACGTCCGGAGATCCCATCAACGGACCCTTCACCGCAGTACCGCAGATCACGCATTCCGATTCCCGTAAGTTATTTATTTTTAACATAACATTATATATTCATTCGTTTGTAAAAAGTGAAGGGATCGAAATTTTGAGATTATTTCAACTGACTTTCCCTTGGTTGACGACTGCCTTCGGAAAGTAAATTGAATTAATCAGGTGTGATGTTATCACGAAATATGTACAACTCGATTGATAAATTGTAATTGCTTGAATATGTGTATTGTATTAAGGCCTGTCACACGACGCTTGTTTTGCTGCTTTTTTGGTCTGCTGGTTAGCATGCTGTTTGTCAAGTAGGCAAAATTTTGATATTAGAACGTGCGCTATTTTTGTGGATTGATCATGGACCTATGAACGAATCCCGAATCACACATTTGTGTTCTGGGCTGGCGAGACAGCAAGCTTGATTTATAAGTGTGATTTGTTTCAACTTGCTAGATTTTTGAGCGAGATTTGTTTTAGCTTACTAGATTATCAAATATTATAAATAACATGACCAAATATTGCCTCCCTATTGGTTCGACCAAACAAATCCATCTACAAAAATAGCCTACGTTCTAACTTTTCTATTACGACATTTTGCCGACTTAACAACCGGCATGCTAGCCAGTAGACCGGTTGTTAAGTCGAGTTTTGGATATAAGCTATTTTTGTGGAAAGCAGTGGCATGTGGTTTATCACATTTAAAAATCCAGAAAGCTAAAACAAATCTCGCTGTAAAAGCTAATAAGCTTTCTCACATCAATCAAACGGATTGAGAAACTATCATGAAATCTAGCACTGACAACCGCGACAAATTCAAGCATGCTATCCAGCCTAGAATACAAGCGTCGTGTCTACAGGCCTTTAGTCAGTTTTTGACAAATTTAAATTACTTTTCAGTATTGCTATATATTTGTCAAAATAAAACATACGTACATATGCTTAGAGTATTTTCTAATATAGAAATAAACAGTTGATAAATATTTCTCTGAACGCGAAATGAGTAATCATTTATATTCAAAAATTGTATTTTGAAATAACTCATTGCTTTTATTATTGTTATATATACATATATATATATACATATATATATATATATATATATATATATATATTCAGGGTTTAGAGTAGGGGGAGTCTCGTAACGCCGGACGGCACCTAACGCCGGACACTCTATTTGACACGCATTATTTAAGCGAGTATAAATCTTTTCATTTCAAAATACAAGTGAAAGGGGTTACATATGCGTTCAATGCTGGTTATTTTGAAATGTCCTGTACTAGGTGCCACTTCATAAAATCATATTTTTTGTTACCAAAGTTTTATTGATAGTATTAATTATTTTTTGGCAAAGGCTCCTTTTTTGTTAATTTAATTTGATTTCTAACTTTGTTATCTAACATAAGTCATAATTTAATAAACATTTCGTAAAATATTTTTTGATTTATTTATAAATAACCTTAGGTGTCCGGCACTCGGGGACTTTCCCCTATAAATTAAATTCATTTATTCTCGACGGTTGAAAATTTTGATGTATGTTATCTTTAGGTTAACTCTTGGAAGTGAATAGTAAAAATGAAATAGTAATGAAAATAATAAACAAAGGAAAGAAAGGAAATTATTAATTTGGAACCTGCCATCGGGCAGACCATCATTTATTATATATATAACTTTCGTACGTTCCAATGTTTCGAAATGAAATATAAAATTTATGTTCGTTATTTTTAGACTCGACCCATGTCTCGTACTATTTTAAACAGAGCGCTTTCGGATTATTAATTCACAAGCTTAAGCTAATAACATAATAGGTATCGATCGAAGACGACGTCTATAACGATAAGTATTTGTCAAACTCGAGGGATCGTTGACGTTGTCACATGGACGAATGAATTTCTAAATTTAACTTCTTGTCAGACGAACTTGGAAAATATTTGACGTAATCGATCTTGAATTATATTGAACGATGCATGTAATTGTTAACGTAAGGAAAATTTATCATGCTTGATTTTTTTTTGTAATATCGTAGGCGTTAAAAGTAACGACTTAAGTTGTTATAAATATCTGGATAAACTTAACTTCCATGTTATTATTTGCCAGTTTGCATTTTTCTAATGCGATTATGTGCTTCGGGTGACATTTTAGAATATCCGCAGCTTGGTTATAAATTGTCGGATTAGAATAGTTTTGAAACTTGCGTACTGTAAACACCGTTCATTTTTAAACATCAGTTAACGTTTCAGCATTTTCCCTACAAAATTGAATACTTCAAAAAATTTCTTGTTGATATCAATAATCAACAAGTTATTTAATCTACCAAATAGTGTTTCTAAGAATCAATTTGAAATTTTCAAAAACAGATTTCATATATAGCTCTCAAATTAGTTTTCATTGGCAATCAAAAGTCCTATAAAATTTTGTGATGAAACTTTTTAACTACGTGGCTTTTGTCACAAAACAAACCAAAAACTGTATTTGATTTGATATTTTTTATTAGATTTTTTTATGATTGTGATATATTTTTAACTTAATGCAGAAATTCTGGAGGTGGGTCTATTCTAACTTTTAAACATATGTTTTTCAACCCAATATTTATCTTTCCTGTATTCATATTTTTATTAGAATTTTTTTAATAGTAATAATATATTTTTAAATTAGTTAAGTATTGTCGAAAAGTTTCCATTTGCAATTGTTTTTAACTTAGTGCTTGTCCTACCTGTAACTGATATTTTTCATTAAATTTTTTTCCATAAAATTGCTATTTTCACTTAGAAACATATTTTTATCTTTATTTTCAAGATATGTTAAAATTAAAAGATATTATGACAAATCTTAAAAGAAAATATATGTATTTTTTGTATGGATTAACTGCCCAATTTTATATTGTAGTATAAATGGGTGATTTTAATGCGCAATGCTTATTGATTTTTAAAAATGTGAACATTTAGCAGTTTTGTATATTAGACAGAAAATATGCCGAACGATGATTTTTTTTATATAATTATACTTTATATCTTAAATATCTACATTATGATTTACAAAATTTTTTAGATTATTGAATTATTCTTATTTTTATTTTTTATTCTGTCTATCCTCTTCTCTCTTAAATTTCTTTCGATTAATATTAATTCTTCAATTCCATTATATATGATTTTGTGGCCAAAAATATGTATATTTATATTTCAAATTATGTTTTTTGATGATACATATATATTTTTTATCAAATTTACAGTTTTTTACAAACCAAGTTTTCTCAAAATTTACAAGATTACATCCAAATTGTCCTGAAAATTACAAAGCTGGCAATAATAATGTATATTAGCGTTTTGTAGTCATATACATTTTGCGCACAAATAAAATTATGATATAGTAAAAAAAATATCATTATGAAGACGGTTTTTGATCGAAGTCAGGTTCTGAAATATATGCAACGTGAAAATGTATAATTACTGCTTGATATCATGTTGTCCAAAACGCGGGATTTTGGGTCCTTGTGTTTACAAAACCAGGTGCTGCGAGTACAGCAACTCTTAAACTTTGGGATAAAAAATTTCATTTATTTGATTCATTATATCTATCGTACAATAATAGAGTTTAGCTACAAACAACTTATTTTTCTTCATCAATTCTGTTTTTCTATAAAGACTAAAAAAAGGCTGGGTTAACATAAATTAAACTTTTTACCCAAAGAGTAGCTCTAGAACAGCATCCGAGAACTTCTTTAATTATTACCTCAATTTTTTTGGTCTAAGTTTATGTTACTCGCATCGCAAAAAGGATTGCACCCTATACTATGTTGCAAATACAATGAATATCAAATAATAATTAGTAATAACTTTTTACTCCCAAAAATTTTATTTGTACCCCATTTGGAGTAATTTACCTCGGTTTCCTGACCACTGTTCTAGAAGGTCTTGAAAATGCAATTATAATAATATAAAATGAAAAATGCTATCAACCAATTATTAAGAACAAAAATTAAGAATTAATTGTATTAATGAATATGAGAAATATTAAATTATGCAAATGGTAATTTATTGTTCAAGTGGTATGTTATAAATATCGGTATCTTAATAACATGAATTAAGTAAATAATGCAATTAATCGAGAATTAAGAATTACAAAGCAAAAAAAAAGTTTTTTCACTATACAATATAATTTTTCTTAACTTTTTTTTAATATTTTTTTATTTTTTTCTTCCTTTAGTGACCAGCGGTCAGCAGGATGGATGCGGTGACAATACCACGACGTCGGCGGGCGTTCTCATCCAAGAGGCTTCCACTGTCAACCAGACGCAAAGACCAACGGGCTGGTTGCGATCATGCAAGGCGTCCTGCTGCTCGGAACTCATGCAGAAGATGTATTTTGGAGTTTGCGTAACAGTTCTGGTGACAGCCACTTGGGTCGGTGCTACGCATTGTATAAAATTTTTATATCTGAAAAGATCTGCGAGGCATCACTTTGCTGCCACACTTGGTCCGTCTAATAAACTTACAAATTCTTCCAATCACCAGGGGGTAAGAAAAAAAAAAATAAAATTTAATATTAAGGATTTTTTCTGAACCTTAATTTTTTCCACTATGAGGTTGATTCTTTTATAAAGACCCTTCTGTTTTTTTAAAATATTTTCTGTTTCAGAAGACATGTTTCAATCTCTTATCGCAAAATATAAGATTTTTCTGCTATAAATTTCTCGATAAACAAAAGATATTGAGAATCTAAAAAAATTCTACTATTAGATTGAATTATTAGTCCTGATATTGTGAATATAGAAACAAATATTGTTATTATCATATTGTTTCCTTAATTTCTTATATCATAATTTATTTTAATATAATTAAAAGTTGGATTAATACCATAAATAAAATAACAAAACGATTTTCTTGTAAGATAAATCGATCAAAGTGTTTGAAGTCATGCGTATCAGTTGGAAAACAATTATATTAGAAATTTGATTAAGATTTCGCTTCCTTCTATGAAAGGAGAATATTATGAAATTCTATAAATGTTTATGGTATGGTGAAGTTTATTAGCTATTGAATTGAATGTTATTGTGAATTTTACAACAAAAAACACACATAAGAATTTTGCTTTGAGGAATCTCTTTTTGGGGAATAAACAGTTCAGATTTTTATTGTTTTACAAAATATTTTCAGACGAGATTTAATTGCTTCTTCAAAAATATGTTTATGCAAATAAGATTATGTATGTGTATTTGATTTTAGTATGTTGGGAAACTTGCTTCTAGAAATCCTTTTTAAAGTATAAGAAGCTTTGACTTTTTCTAGTTCGATAAAATATTTTCAGTTTATTTGAAATATCTTATGAGAATTGCACTAATTTGTACAAATATTTTATTACTAGGAACTGGATTCGAATTTTTCATTTCAGAAACATTTTTATGCAACTGAAGTTTTTTTTTATTTTCTTATAAATTACAATCTGTCTAAATTGAAAGACATTGTGTAATTAGTTTGACAAATAACATAGAATTTTAAAAGGAAAACCCAGTGGTTCACCTTTTATTATTCTACTAAATTATATCTTAATTGAATTTTGGTATTGCAATTAAAGGTATGTATATGCGTTTGAATTTTTGTATGTAAAGAAATTTTCTTTGAGAGATAAGGTCTGACTTGTACCTAGTTTGATAAAAAAATATTAGATTATTTTATTTATCCTATAAGATGTGCAACCTTTGTAATAATTTATTACTGAGAACTAATTTGAGTTTTTTTTATTACTACAATATATTTATAGAACTAAATTTGAGAAATTGGTAACCAGAGTAAACTATCCGAAATATTCCAGAACGCCAACTGTGAATATACCAGAAATATACCAGAAACCGTGTCGAAAAATTTGCTATTATTTTAAATACATATCCAATTAGTTTACATGCTACTTTTATCATTTACCCTTCATCATTTATCCTTACATTATTTTACTTGATTATTTCATTATATAAATTAAATAGTTCCATAGTCCACTCGGGGTCTTCGTAAATCGTGAAACAACTTTAGAGCCAAAGAAGATTATTTGCTACCATTTAACGACATATATTAATATTATGTTTATTTCAGTTTTGCAACATTATTTTGTTAAAAGCTTCTCAAATCCTTGCCGTATCCCAGATTGCCCGATTTGTGGGATGTCATACTCGGGTTACCAACTCCTCTTTTATCCGTTGATTTGTTGGAAAACCTTTATTCGTTTATGTTGGTGAATTTTCCAGCTCATTCTTTACAAATACATTTTTTTTTTCAATTTACAGATGCGATACGATGCACCTTTCTTTACGACTTGGTTTTGTACGAACTGGGCCGTTCTGTTCTTTCCTATTTATGCTTTAGTCCGAATGGCAACTGGAAAATGCGAATCGCCCACGGATATTTTCGCCGAAAGCCTTCGGGCTTTTCGAGATAAAGGCTTCACTGCAGGTAATATAATTTCTTGTTTACATAATGTTATACTTTATTGGTATCTTCGTGAAAATATGCTATTTTTTCTGTTCAAATTTGTTGAAGATATGCGAATTCTTATTAGTAGTAAATTTAACTCAAGAAAAGGCATTTTGAAAGCATAGTTGATATTGTAACATTTTTTTAAATAAAAGGTTATTCTGGTCATAATATTGTTTATTGATATAGATATAATATATGACTCATATTTATTTTGGTATATAATATTAATATACTAAATTATAATATTTTAGTATATGATGCTTTTAACAAATTTTTTGTGTTCATTTTTGTCGATTATAGTTCCTGTCATTTTTATATCGATTATCGACAAAATAATGCGTATGACAATATGATCAAAACTGTATGTATCTTGTCTAATAATATACTTACTGCATTTTTGAGTACTTTTTTTAAATTTTCTTCTAAGAGTCTCCCCTACAAAGTGGGAATAATACATAATTTTAACAAACTAATCAGTTTATATTCATTCATAAACTCTTAGAAAAATTGATTTATTATTTAGATTGTGTATGAATTAGCCACTTTCGAATAACGGCTAAACCGATTAGTATGCTTTAAAACAACTTTTGATTTATAATTTTTGTGCACAGAGCTTATTGATTAGAAAACTGAAGATGCAGCCGTTTCGTATTTAAGACAAAAAATATGTAAAAAACGGCAATTTTGAGGGCAAAAATAGATATATTTGTATGACAAATTACGTATTTTAAAAATATGCACATACTTTTTCAATAAACTTTCAGTTCTATTCAAAGTGATACTGATTTTTCAGAATTAGTAAGATTTACTCAAGCTATTCTTTTGAATTAGTTAAAAAAAATTAAGTCAGTTCTGATATATCTTCAGTATTGAGGATTTGTCTTAATTTGTAAAAAACGGCAAGTTTGAGAACAAAAATATATATATTTGTATGACAAATTATGCATGTTAAAAATATGCACATACTTTTTCAATGAATTTTCCGTTCTATTCAAACTGATACTAATTTTTCAGAATTAGTAAGATTTACTCAAGCTATTGTTTTGAATTTGTTGAAAAAGAAAAATTAAGTCAGTTTTGATACATTATTTAAGTATTGAGAATTTGTCCTAATTTGTAAAAAAACGGCAATTTTGAGAGCAAACATAGGTATATTTGTATAACAAGTTATGTATTTTGAAAATATGCACATACTTTTTTCAATAAATTTTCAGTTTCATTCAAATTAATAAAAATTTTCAAAATTAGTAAAATTTACTCAACCCAAACTTTTGAATTTATTTGAAAAATTTCTAAGTGAGTACTGAATCATTATTATATTATTGAGGGTTTGTTCTAATTTGTCTACTTTTTTACTATTAAAATTATAAATTACTAATATGAACCTCGAAACTACTAAAAATATGACTTTTGATCAATGTCATGTTTCGATACTTCTTCAATTCTATTCAAATCTAAAAAAAAATCAAAATTATTGAAAATATTAATATTCAAGGTTGAATTTTTTTACAATGTTAAAACTAAGAGAAAAATCACATTTTCATCTTTTTAAATATAGATTGTAATATTAATTTTCCTCGTAAATATATAGGTACTGTTAACTTTGTTTTTTTTTTTTTACAATTATTTATTTCCAGTTAAATAAATTAAAATTTTTAATAAATTATTTTTTTGGCAATAATAGCTTTTTTAAATTATTAACTTCCCGAAGGAGAAGTTTGTTTTCATAAAAAAATCCGATTTGCTAATTTTTTATTTTCTCGATGTTTCAAGCCATTCTGAATCGAATGAAACCAAATTTGAAAAAAGTATATGTGTGTGTATGTGAACAGATTTTTTACTCACCTTTTAATGGTTAGTTATAAGTAGGTACTTGATATAAGAAAATCTGCGTTTTGTAGTTCCATGATAATTTATTTAGGAAATTTGTTCACGGACCGGATTTTGTTGCAGCAATTGGATTTAAACTATATTACTAGATTTTACCTTTCCGTCTATTTCCATTGTCTACAGGTCGCTTTTTGAGTCGTTGCTGCCTGTTTTGCGTCCTCTGGGTAGCTACGAGCTACGTCTACGTGCATTCGCTACGAGTGCTTTTGGCTACGGACGTGATGGCTTTGTTCGCGACCAACGTTGCGAGCGTCTATCTACTCTCTTGGGTCATTCTTCACGAACAGTTTGTGGGAGTTCGAGTGAGTGAAATAATATTTAGTTGTATAATTAAGAATAATAGAAATAAAAAAAAAATTTACAGGAATTTTTTTACATTTTGAGCAGATTTTGATGAACAATGTCTTCATAACTTTGATTTGATTAATTATTTTTTATTCTAAATTTCTTGGTAAAAAGAAACGATTCAAAATATTGAAAATGTAACAATTTGGCTTATATAAAATTTACAAAATTGATGCGAAGTATTCGATAAACTAAAAAAAAAGAATTTTACTAGATTTTTTTTATTATTATTTTTGAACAGCAATCAGAACCTAATAGTTCCATAAGCTGTTTTGCTGATTTTGATTTAATTCTAGTCTGTTTGACAGATGGCAACCCAATCAGTTGTCACATCTCTGTAAGATATATTATTTTTACAATTTTTGTAATAGGGCGAGTATTTTTTTAATGGTGCAGCAATACCGGGAGAGGGCTATTATCACTTGGATACATATTGCTATCTATATTTCCAAGTGAAAATCGTTGTCACTATTGCCTGACAACAGGCTGCTCGAAGTGGGTATCGAACCCGATACCTCTGAAACAAGTTCCGTCGCTCTTAACTGTTTACTTACGAGCCTAGAATAGAATTGATTTTATTTTTTTTGTCGATATTTTCAAAGTTCAACTATTCAAGAATATGTCTTCCAGAGGGTTTTTCAAAATTTAATTTATTTTCGGAGATATAGCTATCCACGATAAATCTTCTCTATTTTTTTCTCTGAAAAACTTTAAACGCGTTTTTGTAAATACGGTATCTACGATTTCTCAATTTATACTGAATCGATTTACTTCTAATTTTTACAGGGTGTTCTTTATAGACTTCTCTTCAATATCCCCAAATTCTGATTTTTACTATTTTTAAATAATTTGTTAATATTGAAAGAACTTGTGAAAAACATCTCTTTCTCAGACAGTCGCTATTTTGTAAAAGACATTTTTTTAACATGTACTTAGTTTATATGATAGCGATATTACTCTGGGTAAATAACACACACACACATATACACGTATATATATATATATATATATATATATATATATATATAATATGTTTTAGCTCTTAATATTAACTATTAGATAGTGCGCAATTCAAAGTTTTGTATGAAAATAGCATGAAAAATTTTTCAAAAATTTTAAAAATGTTTTTAATTATAATTTAGCGAACGAATGAATGAGTTTTATTCAAAATTTGTCGCTAAGTTATACTTAAATTTTCTTTTCTTAATTTTCAAAAAATTTTCCATACTATTTCCATGCAAAATTTGATTGAATTGCGCACTATCTATAAGTTAATATTAAGAGCTAAAACTTTCAGAGAATTGTTTTTTATCAATTTAAAACCATTTGAGCCCTTGGGAGCAAGGAAATTAGAAAATGTCCATATTAAGGACCACCTTAATATATATATATATATATATATATATATATATATATACATATTCAGATTATTTGAAGCACTAAAATCATCAGTATCGTCAGATGCTAATTTTTCTTCGACCTCCCACTTTTACACCTTGTAAGTTCGCAAATAAAACTTTGTGGTTAATTTCAATTTTTATTTTTTAGTATTTTCAAACCATTAAATTATAATCTGTTAAAAAATCTTGCAAAAATATTGTTTGCCCTTTATACGTTTTTTAAAAAACGGATAAAATTAATGTCTTTAGACCAGAAATACCCCTTTGATTTAACTTTTCTCAATTAATTTTGTAGCTAAATATTGTATTGAAAATTGTAACGGTAATCAATATCTCGAGATAGATACTTATATTTTCATATTTTTCATTTCAGATTGTGGCTGTGATATTATGCGACACTGGCATAGCACTTTTGGCTTATATGGATGGAATAACCGGATCACCTACTCTTGGCGGCGTTGTACTTGCCGCCGCAGCAGCTGCCGGATATGCCGTGTACAAGGTAATCTTATAAATATTGATTTACTCATAATTGATATATAAATTTATTTTATATTATTTCTTCAATGGTTGAAATAATTTACTATGTTACTTCTGTACAATTATGTTACATTACTCTTACACTATTTATATACAAAAAAATGATACTGATTGTGTGAGTTGAGCTAAAACACCTTTTCTACCTACATTGAATAGCCTAATGTCAAGCAGTACTTCGGTTTCAACTTAAAATTTTACCTCAAATATAATAAAATGCTAACAGTTCTCAAATATTTATTCAATCGTCCACCGTGAACATACGAGTGTCCTATATTATATGTTGAAAGTTTACGGTTTATTTCCTATCACGTCCCTATAAATCACTATAGAGACGGCATAAAATACATTATGGCACGGCTGCCGTGTTCTGTATACAAAGACCGACCTTTTCGTTGTTTCCCATATAAGCTTCAATGAAATCCCGATGGATTCATTATTTATTTTGACGGCGGCCGTCGGATGCGTCCTGAGTTGTGACCCTTGACAATTAAAACAAATTGGAAGGACTGCTGTAATAGAGGCGGCAATTCGACCACGTTGGATTAATATCTGGTTCGTTTTTATTGAGGAAAATTCTATCTAAAGGATTTGGAATTAAATAATAGCAGTCAAATATTTTAAGAAATATTAATAGAAGAAGTAGACTGAGAAATATTAGTTATCAAGTAGTAACTGCAAACTTTTACTTTCACGAGTTGTTTTTAATAAAAAATTATTTTTATTCAATTTCCAATTGATAAGATTTTATCAATTACAAATTTTATATAATATAAAATTGTGCATTTATTTTAATTATTATTAGAAAATTGTCTTATCATTATATATTGTTTATTCAATGTTTGTTCGATTTCATTTTTGATAGACCAATTTGTTGTAAAACACTTTAATTGTAAAATTATGTGTTTATTTTAAAATTAACTTCAAATTGAATTTGTATTTACAATATTTTCAAAGTATTGTATTGATTGCTTTAAATTTTTGATTATATATCTTCTGTTTTTATATCAATATATAGAATGCTTTGATTTTGGCGTGAATATGTATATGTTTTTCATATACGTTCATAGAATGAATTCAGTGTTGATATTTACTTAGAATTTTACTATGCATTCGTTTTCATTCAATTTACTAATTGTATGTTCAAATTCTTTCTGGATCTACCCAGTAGGCTCTGTAATGATGATAAAATTAAAATATTTAAAATTATTTAGATTTAGCCCGCCGTTGTGTAATGGTTAGGACAAACTAGTTCCGGGTTTGGTTCAATCATTGGCCAGCACTATATCAAGCAGTATGATATGAAATATTGAAGTTATAGAACTAAACTATAATTTCCATTGAAAATCGTCTTTTGTAGGCTTTGTTGAAACATATACGACTATTACATTTACTTATCTAATAGATATAGTCTACTTATAAAAAGGTGTGGTTGACCGCTGGGTTGCCCCATCAAAAAAAATACGAAGTTTTTAAATGTACATTGGCAAATACAGTTCATAGAATACTTGGTTCTGATCTCTTTTTTTAAATATGTTTTATTGACTTCTATTTAATAATATACAGTCACTGATCTCTTTAAAAAAAAGAACTTGAAAAAAATTAGTTCGGCTTCCTAATTCTATCTTCACAATTTTTTTCACTTCTGACATGATACTGGTTTAACTTGATTCTGTTTAAACAACGGTGATATTTTTGTTACATGATTATCTGCATATAGCGTAAAAAAATATTTGAAAAAAAAAACTGTTATGATGATAATAATATTCTATAAACTTACTTAAAAGCTACATTTTGTAATTAATTTTTATAATACAACAATCAAAGCAAATAATTCAGTACATATTTCTAAGTTTTAAATATTTTAACATGATCTTGTGGTAATTCAAAAATTTATAATTAAATGTCCTGATAGCAATCCTTCTCACGCAGTCAAATAATATATAACTGTAACAAATGTAGCAGAATGTACTTTGTATAGCTTGCTATGAAAAATAAATAAAAAAAATGTCCTGAGATTATTCACTATTATTTTTATTTTATAATTCAAATATTTTTTACTTGATATTGATTTAACTTGATTTGGTTTTAATAATAATCCATTAAATGTTTACATGATTTTTTGACATTGTAAACAAATGGGAAAAACTATTTTTAATAACGATAATTTTATAAAAATGTACTCAAACTATTTTTCATAATTATTATAATAGTTAAAGAACTTACTTCAATATTTTGTGTTTTTTATAAACATTTGGTTTTCATAGTTTTTAATTCATTTGTATTACAATTTCTTGATTGTTAATTTCTACAACTATGTAATACCGTTTCCTGAATTGCATCTTTATTAGATTTATTTTACTACTTTAATGATCTTGTTTTTATAAAATAAATATATGACTTTAAAGTAATTTTAGTCTATTGAACTATTGTATAAATCTACACATGAAATCAAGTTGAAAACATTCATGTCATTCTATAAAAAGTTGCATGGATCGCAATCAGTTATCTTGTTACGTATGTTTACGTTTTTCATTTATTATGTAAAGTAGAAAAAAGTTATTTAATTACTCTTGAAACCGTGAAAGAATGTCATATCTTGATATATATGTACATACACTTGAGAAATATTTAATCTTCTCATAGTAATTGACATATATTCCATTATCGACTTTTAATTTCCGATTACTTCATTATTAGTAAAAACTTGAATATTATTTGATTCAGTTAGAATATTTATTTGTATCTCTAAGTTATTTTTGGGTGCAATATTCTTTGATAAATCTCGAAAATATTTCTTTTGTGGCTGAAAGCCAAAACACGTACAATCATGTACACAGTTTCAAGTGCAATTTGTAGAACGAAAGTAAAGAGATTTTTATTGTTTCAAGAAAAATACAAGAGATAATCTTTGTTTCAGCTCTAACTTGTAAAACAAAATTCTTTTCAAATATTTTTTTTGTATAATATGATTTTTAAATTTTATATATTAAAAAAAAACTATTAATAAATCATAAAATAAATTTGACTAAGTGATGCATGTCATCATGCCTTAAGGCAAATTACTGGAACTTTCTGTACCGAAAATTAAATACTTTAAAAAAAGCTTTTAAATTTTTGCAAAACTTAGAAAAAATAGATTTTTGCGAATTTTGAAATTTGAAAAAACTTTTTTCAAAAATTATTTTTTTTATGAACTTATATTTTGAACTTTTTTGAAGCAATCGCGCTGCTATAGAAATGTGACCAAAATTTGTACTTATTTATTTTTTATTTGTTCTTATTTATATATTAAATTATACATATGTCTAATAATTATCTTGACCGTCAAATGGCGTTTTCACCATTTTATTATTTGATCTTTGTAACCACTAGATCTGCCTTCTTAAAAATTTAATAAATTTTTTATTCCGTTGATACAAGTGAAATGTTTTTTTGAATCATTCAAATCGGACGCTCCGTCCTCTCCAAAACAGACTTGCCATTTTCTAAAAATAGTCATCATGTCTCAGTTTTAATAGGAATCAAATATTTTCGTAAATCGTAGACGATAAATTGTATCTGCACATGCACACGCATCCATTTTTTAAGGTATGCCAAAATGTTCAGAAAGCACTGAAACGTACAGATTTGCAAAAATTATCGTTTTTGCGATTACTATACTTTACCCTACGGGAAGTTAACAGTTTCGAAATTGAAATTTTTTACATTTCTCGACGTTTTGAAGGTTTCTGAACATTTTGGCATACCTCAGGAAAAATAGATGTGTGTTTGTGTGTGTGTATGTATGGATACACTTTTTCGGTCACGTTTTCGGGCGCACGGTTCAACCGATTTGAATGGTTCAAAAAACATTCGATTCCTATTGATAGGGAGATGTGCTGAATAGTTTTTGGCAAAAGCAGGTCCAGCAGTTACGAAGATAAAGAGCAAAGAGTTCAGAAAATTGAAATCTAACTTTTGAGAGCACGGAGTATCCGATTTGAATGATCTAAAAAATTCAATTAGTAATGATTGGGAGAAGTGGTTATTACTTTTTGGCAAAGGTAGGCCCAGCCATTCCGAAGATACAGAGCTAAATGTTAAAAAGATGGCAGCTTTTGAGAGAACTAGCGTCCGATTTAAATGATTCAAAGAACTTTGTGCTTGTTAATTGACTATAACAAAATAATTGATTTTGAAGAAAAAAAATTGTTTCAAAATATTTTTTTTTTCAAAATTTTTTTTTCAAAGAATTTTTTTTTGTATATCAAAAATAAAATAGATTTTATTTTCAATTCTGACTAAAGTTCTAATATACTTTAAACAAATAATTTCAACTTTGCAATTCAGTTTATAAATAATGCTTATAAATATTAGACAATGTTACAATATTTATAATAATCTTTTTGAAAACATTTAAAATTTCTCGAACATTTCGTTAAGGCACGATGCCACACACCACTAGTTTCTAATAAATTGCAATCTGTCTTGACAACAAAAGTCAGTGTTGGAGATATTTATATTCACTTACTTTACTAATAATTCGTTATTTTAATTTTTATTCATATGACTGCAGAATTTAAGTTAAATTATCAAAAATTACTATTAGGTTTACTCCTGGGTGACCTTTCAGAACTGTTATTTTCTTATATCCTCAAAATGAATCAAATACGATTTAATTATTATTTATCCATTATCCATTTATTACACTTCTACGCACTATATTTCCCTTTTTCTCATTTATGATCTTTATGTCGTCTCAATAGCGATTTATTACAAATACGTGATGTCACGACACATTCCAATCCTTCGGTACGTATATTATTACTTGACCCGGGTGTTTCTATTTCATTCCAGGTTTTGTTCCGGAAAGTGATAGGCGAAGCAACCCATGCGCAAACCGCGCTCTTCTTCTCACTTCTGGGTCTTCTGAATGCCGCCTTGCTGTGGCCCTTGTGCCTGGCCCTCTACTTCACGGGAGTCGAGACTTTGCCGTGGGATAAACTTCCCTGGCCAGTACTTTTGGCGGCTAGCGGACTTTTACTAGGTAATTGTAAATGATACTTGGAATTAACCCTTTCCACTCACGAATTCCGAGATTTATATAAATTTTTTGGGGCATCCGAGTGGAAAGGGTTAATGGTATTTATGATAGTAATGCTTTACTTTAAGCTTTTAGGTTCACGACCGTCAGAATCAGGGACGTTATCAGCCAATTAAGGGAGTTTTCTAATCTAGAATTTAAAAAGAATCTATTTTTTTTCCTCTGTTTTCTTTGTCTGCTCTTTTACCGTTTTACCGTTTACTCCAGTTTTTTTTTTAATATGATACCCACGATTTCTCAACTTTTACTAAATCTACTTGAAATTTTTACACAATCTTTTTATAGAGTTTTAGTATGAACTACACTCATTCTTACTCGATTTAAACAGATTGTACGTTTTCAAAAATGCATAATTCGATTTTGATGAAACTTGACGTACATTGTTACTACACTTTACTAAATATTTGACAATAATTTAAAGTTGAAACCTTCAATAGTTTCTGAGATATGTGAGGTTGATTGGTGGCTGGCCCCGCGCTCAATACTAACATTTAAAGTTTAAATCATTTCTAAATATACCGTGGACCCCCATTTTTATTTCATGGACCCCCAAATTTTGTTTTTACTGCCGTGAACCCCCTGAAAGTAGCCATGGACCCCTAACATAATTTTTTTTTTCAGGCGTTAATTTCATGAATCCTTCCACCACATCACCTTCTTGAATTAAACTTTATGACTATTTTCAATTTTCATATTCTTAAAACTTTAGTTCATAATTTGTAAAGAAATAGTAAAAATATTTTAATAATCGCGTAAAATTTATGCTTTTAGACCAAAATACCCTCATAACTCATCAAATTTTAATTTTTGGATTTTTGGGTTTGAAATTTTATAAGTTTCAACTTGTATCAAAACTTAACAGCATAATTTTTTGATAATATATAAAACTGTAAAAGTAATGCTTTTTGATTGTCAAAGATGTATTAAATTTTAAAGTTCAGTTCAATTAAAAAAATGCAGATAGAAAATGTATAATAATTTTTTTTTACTAAATATATCAAATACTCTAAAAATATATCAGATATCATATATAAATATTTTACTTTATTGAGACGTTAACTACGTTGCTACAATGTATTTAATATTAAAATTTTCGTGATATCTTAAAATCACATAATAGATGCGTTTATTAAGTATTTTTATCCATTTTTTTAATTTTATGTCAAATATCCTTTAGAAAATTCATTGTAATCTGTAACTAACATGCCTAGCAGATCTTTTCATTCGAGCTCAAGATTATATTTAATAACACATAAAAATATCTACTTTTTCAAATCAAATCTTTTATTACTAATAAGTTTAGTAAACATGTTCCAAGTTATTCCATCAACCATGTTGAAGGCGACAATTTATATCGAAAATTTCTGAAACATTGTGTAAAAATTGTTATATAATAGTGATATCTGTATGATTTGACCTATATATTATTTGAATATAAAGTTTTCAAAAGATATTCATGAAAAGAAATAGTAAAGTGACATCGTGTATGAAATCATGATACTCAATTTTGAGATATTGAGAAACGTGCTTTGCGTTTAAACTGATTTGATCTCAGTAGAATTATAAATTATATTTGAAATCATTTTTTATACACGTGTAATATAAAAATAAGGTAAGGCGGGGTTCAAAGGTCCGAATTGACTTTCAAGTATACGCATAAGTAAATAATTATAATTATGCTGTCTACACTAAATGAACTCTTAATTAAATAAATGATCTACTATTTTTCTAAAATTTGTCACCTCACTGCTTTTACCTCATACACGGGGAAAAATGGGACAGAAAGACATTTCACTAAATAATAGCTACATTATTTAACCAATGCAAAATATATTATTTTAAGGGTACATTTTTCCATAGACAATACTGTATATAACCTTGATCTGGTATTTTGTCAGAGATAGTCATCAGTAGAGTTGGAATAACTATTTATCCAGTTCTTGTAAAATTGTATATTCACATTTGTATAAATAAGTTAAGTGCTGGAGTGTTATTTTCAATTACCGTAAGTGTATACAGTTTTTCCACTTTTCATCACATTGTCACATGCAATATACAAAAGTAAATATTGCGCAATATTCTTCTTTCGCTGTCTCTTTATTGTATGGTCATGTCAGTTCTCTTGGAAGTTGAGTTTAATGCATATAAATATCATTTATTATAATTGCATAACACTTTTAGTACCAGTAAAAAAAAACTTCTCATAGTAGTAGACATAATTTGATAATTATTTTTATTAACCTTATTTGCATAATGTTTTAAACACTTTTTATTATTATTATAATTATGAATAATTTTCAAGTACACGCTTGTTAATTTATGATAAACTTGTATTATGCTATGATATTTAGTATAATTTTTATATAAGCGGGGCATAGGGGCATAGGGGTCTGTGGGTAAAAAGGTCCACCATCAGTATCTCAAGAACGAGCGAAGTATAGAATTTTATAGAAGTTCAAAAATTCCAAATTATTTCATAATATAAACAAAAATCAAATTTTTCATAAAGGTCAACTTCTTGCAAAAATTTCAAAATTTTCAAAAATCTATTTTTTTCAGTTAAAAAAAAAGAACAATTTTAATTTTTGGTACGGAAAGTTTCAGTAATTTGCCTTAAGGCACGATGCCATGCACCACTAGTACTTGTATAGTACAGTATAGAATTGTTCAGTTACACTATTTTAAAGTAGATGGCAAAAGATCACCTTAATTCTTACGACGTCGCTATCAGGAGATGAACGAAATTGCATCAATATTCTTACCAAAAGTTTTTTTTCGTTGGTAGTTTTTTTTTGGTTTTGAATTCTTGTATTTAGTTTATAATACCTGAATATAATTTTAAGGTATACGTTATGTAATAGTTTTGTTCTATGTATTGTTATGTTTAAGTTAGATTTATTAGATTTGTTTTATATATAATCTTTAAAAAAGCCAAAATATGGGTGGGGTAAAAAGGCAAAAGTTAATTAATTTTAAAATCATTCTGAACACTTATATTGTGTATATCTGAGAGATTAAGTTTAACATTCTTCAGTAGAAATTTTTTATTTGATTTTGAATTTTCAGTCATTTTTAACTGTAATATATTTTTTTATTTTAAGTTTTCAACCTTCTGACGCACTTCAGTATGGCTGTAACATATAACTTATTCGTCACTTTGGGACTAATTACTGCAGTACCAGTTTCCGCAGGTAATTAATTAATTAGTATTATATTCATTAACATAAATATTAGTTTTATATATTTAAATCATTTGACATTTTAAACATCAATTTCATACAACGCATATATCATGTTGTCTTTCCAGCATTCCACATATCAAAAATCCCATTTACTTCTTCAATATTAGTTATACAATGATGATACAAATTTGTTGAGATTTGTATATTTGTATTTTTTTTTTTCAAAATAAATTATTCAAAATTATTAGAAAGAATTGAAAAATATAAATCAAAAAATTAATTTGTAATTATATTTCAATATTAATTAATTGTTCATTTTTGTGGGATTACTATAACAGACGATATATTAAATTAATAACAATATGTATAAGTCAAAAAATAATGTAAGTCACTTGTTACTTACATAAAACTCGATCAATGACATAATTAGCACTCTATAAATTTTTCATCAGCTGTTTCCAGTTTTTGCAAAGTTTTTATGTTTATGTAATTTATTTGGTATACATAAATATTAATCACATAACCATAAATTAAGGAATGTAAAATGAATAAAACACTATATATTTGAAAGTATGCCGACATTCAAACAAGCAAATCTTTATAAAATGTTCAAACCTATTTATTTATATAGTAGATACTTATTCTAATGATTTTTCAATTATTTTATTACCCATTACATTTTATATCATTCTATTTGCTTAAAACATGCATTAATATTTTTCTTCCTGAATAATTTGCACCAACATTTTTACTGGATCAAAATATTTTAGTATGATTTTCAACTATAAATATTTAATTATTCTCCATCATTATTCACTTAAAATGAATTAAATGCCATTAGCCTTGTATTTCACAACATAGAATTAATTTTTAATACGGGGTCAGCGCTTTAGTTAATAATCGATTATATAAAATTTAACGCGTTAATCGTCATGTCAGTCATATGTATTTGACGCTAAGGTGTTTCACATAAGCCATGTCAGAAATATATGTGTGACAAATTTGCCTGAAAATTTCTAGGTCTGTAGAGAGAAATTTTTAATATAGAGCCATAAAAATAGTGTTTTTCCAGGAATTTTGCCATTTTTTTCTTTGATGCATGAAGTTATCTTGATACATTTTTAACTACATTAATACAGTTACCATAGCCTATGTGAAAATTTTTCTGATATTATCGTGGCGATTAAGGTGTTCAATTGATGGTGATAAAGAAAATATAAAGATTTTTACATAGACAGGTCCATACGTTTTGGAGTAAAAAGTACAAAAAATTTCAGTTTTTGAGAGAATCGTCGCTTAATTCATAAGCTTTCATATTTTGTATCAATATTCAAAGCAATTGTTATTAATCTTTTTTTTTTTGATTAATTTTTATTTGTTGGATGTTTAATTACAGTAGGCAAAGTCCCAGCAATTTGTCAAGAAATACAATGCCATGCACCCTTAGTTATTATTATTAGTGTTCTGCCTTAAGGCAGGTCCATAATGTGAAAGCACCACATATCATTTGTTTTCTCGTTTATAATTATTATTGATCGTTATACACATTTTTATATACTTTTATACAAGTTCCTTTCCAAACTTCGGTTAGATGCTTCCTGTTCCTGTGTTTCGTTTTTCAATTTCCTTTATTTTCTCCTTTTGCGTAAATCATCAATCTTTCTTCTTCTTATTATTATTATTTTCCTTCCTCTTCTTATTATTATCCTTCTTCTTGTTGTTTTCCTTCTTCTCCTTCTTGTTTTCCTGCTTCTTCTTCTTATTTTTCTTCTTCTCCTTCTTATTTTCCTTCTCCTTCTTCTTTCTAGTTCCTTGTCCTTCTATGAACTTCGACGGCGTTGTGCCTGCTGCCACCACTTTTTTTGCAATATTGATCCAATCCAGTTTGCTTATCCTCATGATCGTGCTCAGTAGAGTTTTTTCTCTCGCTCTTCGCAGCACTTATTTTAGTTTTAATACTATTTTAATTATTTTTATTTTCTATATTTTTATATTTTTTACAGCTCTCGACGTGGTGCTGTACGGAGCAACGTTCGCTGGTATGAAACTGGCCGGCGTTATCCTTATAGCCGTCGGATTTTTCCTGGTAATGTTTCCTGACAACTGGCCTACATACATAACACGTCTGCTCAGGTAAGTTAAATTAGATTTTAATAATTCTGTTTGATACTTATTTTTAAAATTGAATTCAGTTTTTTAATCTAACTTGTGGTGTAAAAGAAAAATGCAACAAATCTAACTTGTGATGTAAAGAAATTGAAGTAAATACGCGTTGAAAGTTTTTGTTTAAAAGGTTCTAATAATTAAGTATAATATTTAAGGTCTTAAGATTGGCGTTTTGCGACAATCAAAATTTTTTGTAGGTTTGCAAAATTGTTAACTAAAATTTGGCGGAATCAGCACTCTAAATTACATTCATGGCATTTAGCATCTCGAATACAAATATGTGCTTTAATCTTTTATAATATTGGAACTTGTAATATTTTTTCGATTCAAACTTACAATACTCTTCTCTTGTCTTCCAAACAATTTGAATTTGAAATTATGTGATCGTAATTAATTTACCTTAATATAGAAATTCTAATCAACAATCGTTAATCGACAATTGTTGATTATAGATGTCAGGTTTTTGAAAGATATTAGGAAGTTTTAGTAATAAATTTTAAGTATAAATTTATAAATATATTGCGTTTCATGAATATTGCAGCAGCAATTAAAATTGAGCTATTAAATTAAATTAATAACTTGATTACATATTCTATATGGCAAATAATGCCTTGAATAAACAATTATGATAAATTTAAGAAAGCGCCATATACGCTGCATATGGAAAACTGAAAACCATTTATTCGTTATAAAATACTTTATTTAAAACGTATTATGTATAAATTTGAAAGCTTTTGGTAAACTTTCTAAAATTATTGTTCAGTATGCATTGGCAAAATTTTACATCATGATATGCTGTTTTGCATCATAACATGTATTTAAAGAAATTTACCAATTTGGTTAATACTTTGTTTTTTGAAGACATTCAACCTGATTTTCTTAAAAGCACAGTAATTGAACGATTTATAGCAAAATAATTTTATGTCTTCGTTATCACAAGTTAGATATACATTTATATTTATTGCAATTGTGTACTAATTACCACATAATATTTTAATGATATATCATGTAATGTTTTGTATTCTGGTGTTAAAACTTCTACCTATATGTTCCTACATGTTTACAATGTAATTCTTCAAAATGTGCAATGGGCATGTGCAGCATTTTCGAATGCAATCGTACTGATCCGGTGTTGTTTGAATTTTTTAAACAAAATCTCATTTTTTTGCAAATAGTGTCATGTATTTTTGTTGTCTTATATATTTTATACAAACATATGCTACTTGTTTTCTGTGTTATGTGTTAGTGATTAATAGACTTATTTTTATCGTTATTTGAAATCTTGCCACAGAAAATAGAATGATAGAGGGGTATTGATATATGTGACTTTATTAGTTGATGTTTTTGATATATACACGATTTTTGAGTTAGATAAAAATTTTAGGATTTATTAATAATTTATGTTAACACAAGGATCGTGTTTGAATGAAGATGACCTTTATTTTTACAATTGCCACACTAATTAAAAAAAAAAACACTTTACAGTAAATATTTGTTACCTAATTGAAATATTATTGAAATATAATATTTATAATTATATGCCACTAAAAGAAGAAATGTTAATTAGAAAATTTATATTTACATTGGCAATTAGTTTTAATAATTTATTGCATTTATAGAATTATAACAATTTTTTTTTTCAAAAATTGGTTATGCGGAATGTGTGACAAAGCTTTTACTTTACAGAAAGACTGCTTTAAGATTGTTTCTTCGAGCCAACCAGGTCTGTTTGTAGGAAAAAAATAAATATATAGGTTTTTAGGTTCTACATATATTCGAGATTATTTTATAATAGTATTTTCCCTAATATTAGCTAAGAATAAAATTTTCAAAAATAGTAAAGAAGTGATATAGATGATATTTTGGTTTACCTAAAACATTTTAAAAGCTTTTGATGATTCATCTGAGGTTTTTTGAACTTTTTCTTAAATTAATATTGTGGTACGTACTTAATTTTTGTTTTAATCGTCGAACTTCAATTTTTAATATTTTTTCTAAATGTAACGTAAATATGTACTAAGATTTTATTATCTATTGAAACATAAAACTCTCGAATATATGTAAGTCGAGTAGACGCTGTAATATATGATATGCTTCACAAGATTTCTAAATATTATATATTTGTCTTACACACAATAAATTCACTTGCTGCACTCAAATGTAAGTGCTGACTAATACAAACCTTATCCAATTTCCTAAACTTTCCTAAAAAAAATGACTAACAATATTCTCACACTATAAAAAGATACAAACACTTACAACTACTAACACTATGATTAAATCAATGTTAGAAAAATAGATTATCAAAATCACTCTAATTTGGTCTAGCTTTTGGAAAACAAAAAGTTTACACAGTACGTATTTTTTATTGTAAATACACTTTTTATGTTATGAGTATTTTATGTAAAATTTTGGAACAGTTTTGATGTATTTATTATAATGTAGCTTTTTTAGTACGAAGGATTATTTAAGTTGCAAGTGGAAGTTTGCATGATTCATCTCATATAAAGTATACTTTATATGAAATTTATACTTCATCGGTGTAAAATGACGTCGTTATCAAGTAATTTATGTTCTGCATGAGATTAAATATTTATTTATATTAAGTCTATGATGCATAATAATTAATATTACAACAACTTTTGTCAGTTTGTGAATAATTGCAGAAATTAAAACTATATTGCAAAATAAGAATAACCTTCATATAAATATAAAAGTTAAAGTAACATTTCCTGATAATGATATCGTTCATTTATAAAGTAAAAATGTTGGCTTAGAAAATTTGCAGAATCTTGTTTTATTTATATGTATTCATCTCGTATTATTAAACGTAGCTCTTATTTTTTTACTTTTAAGCATCTATTAAAATTTTATTAAAGTTAGTAAATTTGATTCTTATCTCTTAATATTCATGCTTGAATTTTCACTTTGTATTTTTTTCCAATTTTAATGTTCGTAAGTTACTACAAAAAAAGCTTTTATAATTTTGCGACATTATTATTTGATAAAACAAATATTGTTCGGTCTATCTGAAAACGAGGTCCAATATGAGGGCAATATTGGTAATAAAGACCCAAGATTCAAATATTGCGCCATGTTTCGTACCCATATCTGGCCATGATTCATTTCTACTGGAGTGTTTCTCTAATTTTTATTTCTATAGTTCTATTTCTATAATTTTTATATTTTGGAGTTTTTTTTGTGGCACCTCTCTTGAATTCTGCAATAAATTGTTATAATAAAATAACATACAAATTTCCATTTGCAAAAAAAAAAAAAACAATTACCATAGATTTAAGGTGACAAATGCTTCTTATTTTCTGAATAACAAATTGAATTGAACAGTTTAGTACTAATATGTATTTTAAACGTATGCATATTTATTTTCAACTTACATGTATTAACAATTTTTTTATTTTGTGGCCATTAAGTTCCTTATTATTACATAATTACATACTACTATTACAATGGTAATTAATTACAATATTAACTAACCTTTCATTGGTAACTAATTTATAAAAACAATTTATAATTTGTGATTTGAATTAAATTTATTGCACAAGTTAAAAACGGGGAAAAAATACAATTCATTTTGTTTTATTTATATATATAATTCATTAAAATCTTGTAAAACTTCTCGTTATTTATAAAAATCAGTACATTTGTTTTGATGGCATGATACATAAATTTAAGAGACCGCGAATACCAAAAAACAATTCTCAAATAATTTATTTTCGCCAAGATTAAACCGATAAGAAAAATAATTTTACTAATTGTATTTACCTATAGTCTTTTACGAAATATATTTTTCATACTGTATGACTATTACACATGTAAGCCCATAACAAAAATTATGTTTTGAAGCAACTTATTGAAAGTCATGATATTTATACGCTTGATTTTTCTATAAACAATTAATTATTTAATAGCAAAAAAATTAAACGCTAGTGCCTTTGAAAATAATTATTATTAATAAAAAGATCAAGGTTTTCAGGAAGTATTTTACTTTTGAAGTAACATAAATCATTTTAAAAGTAATGCGATCTATATGTTATTTCTGGTTCAATTTGTTGTTTTAAGGCAGTTTCAAAAAATATTGTAATACCATCTACTTTCTCGATTCATTATAAAATAGAATATATACTGAAATAAAATATATAATAAAATAAATAATTATACATAATGATTAAACACTAAAAATGATCTACTAAAAATGCAAATTATTATCCTTGACATCCTCGAAAGAATTTCATAGAATATAATATTTCATAATATATTTTTACTCACTATTACTCATTTACAAAAATGATTTTTTTTATTTTATTTTTTTTAAATATTATTTATATTTATAAAACATGAAAGACCTATCTGAATAATAGTATTAAAAAATTTCGCATTCATCAGTTACAAATAAATTGCACAAATGCATACGTTCATAGTACATATTAATAATACTTTGTCTTACTTCAGATATCTTTTTTTTTCAAAAAAAATCTCTTATTATAATTCTCATTAGTTCTCTGTATTTATAAAATATAATAATATAGTAGCTAGTATGTAATCTAAGTTAGAATCTAAATGTATCTCTGTTGCTTTCAAATAGCTTTTTTTAATGCTTTATATAAATGCTCTGTTACTCTTCCCATTTTTATTGTATTTATCAGTATTATATAATCTGCATTAATGTATAAAAAAGTAAATGACATTTTAGTAATACTTTAATGCAGTTAAATTACCGGCACTAAGTGTGGAATGATAGTAACTTGTTAAATGTTGCATTTTAAATGTTCTAGTCGATGTGTTCTCTGTATTTCCTTATTTTTATATGAATATTAGTCCAGTCATTTAAGGTTAAATTAGGTAAGAATCTCGGAATTCGAGATACCCAGCTGTAAGTCTGTAAATACTTCTATATTGACACCTAAAAGTTGTCTCAAAACCTACAAGTAGTAGGGTGTACGCAACATATGTAGGTTTTGAGACAACTTTTAGGTGCCAATATACATGTATTTACAGACTTACAGCTGGATATCTCGAATTCCAAGGTGAATTTACTATAATGACTGGAATATATATAAATGAAATTAGTAGGTATATTTTAGACAAACATAATTATTAAGTTGGGTAAAATTGATAGATTTTATAACCGTAATATAACACTGTTGTAAATTGCCTTCATCATCCCAGTTCGTAATCAACTCACCTCATCTTATGATCTTATCACTAACATTTTTTATCGAGAAACAAGCTTTCCTGATATAGATTTTTTGATTAACTTGAATTTATCAAATTTTTTTGATCTTGAAAAGTTTGAAATGATGGGAAACTCACACTTGTAAATTCATCATCATTCACAATTTTTTCATCAGTGTAGCTGCTATCAATGTATTCTCTAACATGTTCTTTCCTGTGTATCTTATGTATATTTGTAGTTAAATTGTAAATGCTTTAAATGTATATATATATATATATATATATATATATATATATTAGGTGGTCCTTAATATGGACATTTTCGAATGTCTTTGCTCCCAAGGGCTCAAATGGTTCCAAGTTGATAAAAAATAATTCTCTGAAAGTTTTAGATCTTAATATCATTAATGTTTAGATAGAGCGCAATTCAATCAAAGTTTTGTATGGAAATAGCGTGAAAAATTTTTCAAAAATTTTAAAATTGTTTTTAGATATAATTTAGCAAACAAATAAATGAATTTTATTCAAAATTTGTCGCTAAGTTAAACCTAAAATTTTTTTTTAAATTTCAAAATTTTTTCCATGCTATTTCCATACGAAGTTTGATTCAATTGCGCACTATCTAGAAGTTAATATTAAGAGCTAAAACTTTCAGAAAATTGCTTTTTATCAATTTGGAACAATTTGAGCCCTTGGGAGCAAGGAAATTCGAAAATGTCCATATTAAGGACCACCCTAATATATATATTAGGGCGGGTCGAATTTTTGGCCTTTGGGGACTTTGCGGTGTGTTTCTTCGAGTCATTTCAAGAATCTTTGCAGAACACACTATTACTCGGATATAAATTTGGAGCTAGCAAAATTTTCAATATTTTTTTTGTATATATTCAAATATTCTTAGTTTATTTTAAAGACTTTATAATTACTCGCCTGTGATTTGTATAACACATTGCTATATAAAAGTCAAAATAAAGCCTTTAAATTTTATATATCCATGAGAAAAACGACAAAATTGAGCGTAAAGGTTGGGAGAGGATTTTTACCACAAGACTATTCTAAGAAAACACTGTACAATATCTTTATAAACTTCAATTAAATATTTATAACTATCCACTTAACATATATCTATGATATTTTACATTTACATTGGGTTAGATTTTGACTACCTACTTTTTACCATAGAAACATTCATCAAATTAACATGAGGTTCTTATAAGTTTATATTTAAGCACATATGAAAAAAAAAACAATTTTGAAAATTTCGCTAACTCTAAAATTACTACAGAACTATGGTTTCTTTGTCAAAGTTTCTCAAAATAATTAAATAGAATTAGAATGGTAATGTACCCCATGGACAATATAATTTTACCAGCGCTAATGTATATATATATATATATATATATATATATATATATAAATTATTCAATAATTGTCATTATAGAAAATTAATATTACGGTTTCTTCTGACATCTATTCTTATATTACGAGAAAATTTTTTCGAACTTTTGATAAAAGTCGTTTTTTTGCGCGAATGGCATATACTAGGATTTTTTAGTGTTTTATAAATCCGGATTCGTAGAAAAATATTAATAATAGAATTATGTTCTACTAAATAATATAAATCTGAAATCAGACTTGTCCAGTATTACTGAGCTAGTTGAACTAATCACAATATTTTAATTTTTAATTATTTATCTGCAAAGTATAATTTTAGTATTACTTTAGCTATCCCAAACAAATTAGATCCAATTTTTCTTAAACGAGATAAGAGTTTATTGAAACTCCAAAATTGATCTATTGAGTTAAAACTGTACTTAAAATGCCTTAAAATTATCATGTCTCGTTGTATTTTGGCATTTTTATAATTCGGTATTGAAGACTTGAAAAGAATTTGGCACGATATACACGGTTTGTGTACGTGTTAACCGATAAATTCAAAATTCATATTTTATGAAATAGATGTCAGAAGAGGCCCGAAGGTATTTATTTACCTGAATTTCCGATGTAAATATGCATTAGTCAACACCATGAATTCTGGCAACACGCTTGTCTATTGCGCCAAAAACACGAGTGATTAAAATGACAGATCATAAAAATGTGACTGAATTTCAAGAAAAAATAGTTTTTTTATTAGTGATTAATAATAATGAATATTTGTTTCATAGAGTGTTAAATGTTATTTGTCTGAGACTACTTGTTGTGTTTGTTATTACTACAGTACCATACATCTGTAGTCCCTGACTTTTCCTATTTATCTAGGTTAGTATTCTGGGACTCCAACTACAAACTCAGTAAAGTCGTATTTTATTAAAAAAAAAATTTGATTTAATTTTGTGTAATTATTGGTTATTCTGATGTTTTTATCGCTCGTGTACAAAGTGCCTAAATCCAGTTTGTCATATCGAATGCCTTGCTTACCAATTCATTTTTCAGCAAAGTGAATTGGTACATGCAGTTTATAAATATTTTATATAAATCCATTCACATTTTATATGAATCCATTCGGTATGCCAAACGCTTTTTGTGCTATTATTTTCAATATTATATTTTTTCTAATAAATTCTTATTTTTGTTACAGAAATATCATCATGTTGAGTCACAGTGCGAGGTGAGTGTATGATTCTATATTTTTTGTGCATGTTATTTTTGCAGCTTTGCATGGCGATATAATTGCGATAACTTTGCTTGGCTATCTGCCGATCATAATTTTGCTGATCAGATTATTAGACTTGCACAATTTATAACATATTCCTTATTTCATTAACATATTCATTTATTTTAACTATTATTTAAACCGAACGAGGTTTAATAAATATATGTGTGCTAAACTTTGACACATTTAAAGGATATAGGCGCATATAGAATCGGCCCCACTCTGGTATTTAAATAATTTATACGTCATTTTAAATGTCTTTTTGAAAAAATCCGATATACTAACTTTGTACCTCACCTTAAGGCCAAGATATCATTGAAAACATGCCAAAGTGACCCCTTCATTCAAACTCACTTTTCGATAAACGATACCGAAAATAATTACGTGATTCTATTGACATTGGCTTAGACCACATTATGTAGAACAATCGATGCCAAATAACCATTTATTATTGGCTAAAAAAAAATTAAATAATTTTTCCATTGATGTCTTTCGGATAGTGCGTTTAGTTGGACTACTTTTTAATTTAAGTAATAATATCTGTAAAAAAAAATTCAGACCATTCTAAAATGTGACATTTTATTTTTTCCAAAATCCGTGCGATTTGTAAAAGAATGACTTATATATAGAAAATAAAGTTATGAAAAATTAAACTTACTCTGAATATTAAAATGGCTTTGCGACTTTCATAGTCAATTACTTTATATATAAAATTGCATCTATATAATATTAAATATGCCTAAGAGATAAAAATCATTAAGCGACTCTTAATTTCTCTAAGAATTGTTAATATATATATAATTCTTCTTATTTTTAACAAAAAAATATTGAATTTTTTTTTTTATTTATCTGTTACAAGTTTACTGTAGTACTTTCCAAAGAAGTTTATATTCAAGTTCATGTAAGTTTTCAAGAGAAAATTGGATTTGCTTATATTTTCTCGACGCTTTAAGTCATTCTCGATCGTTTGTCATCATGTTTGTGTATGTGAGCCAAAAATTGAACCTTTGGGCAACGTATATCTAAAAACGGCTGCACCGATTAAAAAAAATTAAAATTAGCAGAAAAATGCAAAGTATTTTATCTACGCTTTTGCAAAAAATCTGAACTAATAATTCAAATTTAAAAATTTTGGTAAGGTATTATTGTTGAAATAATACCTTAAAAATTTAATTTAAGGTATTATTGTTGGGAATTGAATTGCTGATAAAGAATTGTTTTTGGTGAAGGTCGACTGTGCCTTTTGTTCAAAATGGTTATTTTTTTATTTTTGATAATTTTGATGAAACTTAGTATGATCATAAGATTCGTGGTCTTAAACATTCTGAAACAATATAGGCCTACAAAAGGTGTTAATTACAATTTTTTCTATTATATACGATTATATAATTAATGTTCTACATCAACATTTGCGATTTTGTGTTCAAATTATATCAATGTGATTTTACACATACATGTATCTGATATATTTATTATAACTACAGGTATTTTAGTTTTACATATTTTCTATTTTTAGTCAGTTTTTCATACAAAGTACTAGGATTCGATCGCAGTACCTCTTTTTGAGAGTCAAGTATATTGACTTTAAGTCCATGACCCACGATTTTATGTATGACTCAAATAAAAAAAAATATTATTAAAAATATCATCAGTAACCAGATGAAGTACAAAAATATAATTATATTCCATCAGAAATATAAAAACAAAAAGTTGTTTTCGGAATGATTTTCAGCGCATGTACTCTCATTACTAACGAATTATATATTATATGACACCGCAAAATGTAATTTCGCAAGCCTTTTTTATCTTGTCAAAATGACGTTGCAGCTTGTGATGTACTTAACATATATATTTAGTATTTATTTGATTATATACCGATACAGACACCTCACTTTCAATTTCGAACGTTTTGATTCAGTTGCAAATTGCAAAATGTGTAAAAACGGATTTGATCAACGGCATTTCGCAATGGCAATGGACTTTATGCAAACGGAACTCTTAAACAAACACAGCAAAATCTGAAAGAAAAAAGTTTGACGCCAATTCACTTTTACGCCATATAAGCAAATGAATGAATAATAATACTGATTGTGAGTAATGCCCACATAACGGTCATAATCCTACAGTAAGTTATTTTGATTTCGATGGAGGAGAGCCAGCGATAGTTCAAACAAAATTATTATATAATTTGAATATGAGCGAGGTAAAAGTGGCATTAAGCCATAAAGCAAGTTGCCACTTACATCTAGTAAATTTATCGATATATGTTAATAATCGAGACAATCATTAAGAATTAAATAATAGCATCTATTGAAATTGTGACGATAAAATTTTGAAAGTTTGACTCGGCTCATCATTCCAGACATTGATATTTTTTTTAATTAAACAAGTTTTCATTTTAAAGATATTTTAGGATGTCTGCTAAGACCGTTTATACAAAGTTTCATCAAAATTGTCATAAAATTCAAAAATAAGTAACAAAGAAACGCACGACTCCCAACTAATAATTTTCTGACAGTTTTATAATTTTCAAAATTGATTCCAAATTTTTCAAGAAAACGTTGCTGAATAATTTTGCACTTATATTGGTGATTGGGCTCGCCCGTAGGTAAGCGGTTAAGAGCGACTGGACTTGTTTTAGAGGTCCCGGGTTCGATACCCACTTCGAGCAGCCTATAGTCAGGCAGCAGTGACAACGATTTTCACTTGGAAATATAGATACCAATTTGTTTTCAAGTGAAAATAGCCCTTGTCTGGCATTGCTGCACCAATAAAAGGTCAGCTCTATTAGATTAATTCTAATAACAAAAATCATCAAATATGGATGGATTAACCATCGGGTTACCATCTAAAAATACAAGGTGAGATGTTTCAGCCCAACAACTCATAGGACGTAAGGTTCTGATTGCTGTTAAAAATATATAAAAAAAATGTCAAAAGATTCAGTATGTCTTGAAATATCGAGAAAAAATAAAATTAGTAAATGGGAGTTTCTGGTGAAAACAAACTTCTTTTTGGAAAGTAAAACATGTATATTTATATACAAGTACCAAATTATTTAACGCAAATTGAATACCGGCAAATGAAATACCGGCATTTTTTGAATAAATATTATCATTTTTTAAATATATATATATGATTTGTCTATTAATTTTGACTCTAATTTGTTTTTTTATACGACTTGCTATTTTTTATTCTATGATCTATACTAGCTGTTTATAAGCGCGTTTTTTAAGTGTTTATATTATTTATACGAAGTAATTTTTAGATAAAATTTTAATTTCAGATAACAATTAATTTATAATGAAATCCTTTCATTATAATATATAACAAAAAATATAAATTAGTGACGATTTCATAAACTTTATAAAGTTTTTATTATTATCATCCCACGATGTAATAATTATATGAAAACTTAGCAACTTAATTACATACCTTTTTTTCAGAATCATATTAATTGAGACAAGCTAATGAAATTATTTATATTTAATTAAAAATTTTGAGTAATTACTCAAGTACACTATTTTTTAATTCAATATAAAATAATTATAATAGCTTGTTTTTCAATCAATATGATTCTGAAAAAAATAGTATGTAATTAAGTTGCTAGGTTTTCTTATAACTTGTAAAATACGAAATTCGAATATAAATAAACTTCAATTTTAACATTAGCGATCGCTGGCGCCCCGTCTATTATCACCGTTGTTGGTTGAAGTTTCGTTTTCTATTGACCATGATATTCAAAACTATTGTAATTATCTAACTATTATAATTGCTTTCATTCACACTATGCAAAATGACCATTTCATTTTTAAACTAGTGATAAATTATACTCCATGCAAATTAGAAAAACATTAACTAACAATTAGAAGACAATTCTTCATATCTGATGGGATGAGAAATGCTGTTTGTTCTTAATTGTTTCGTAAAGAGATGCATTTAATGATTCAAAATTATTTTTGGTAATGAATGTGATAGAACTCATACTTTAGTATGATTTGATAATATATAAATGGTTAAAATTAAATATTTTTTACAACGCTAATCAGCTAATTTTAAATGCGCATCTACTTTTTTTATATGGTATGTGATAAATGACAATGTATCTAACAAAAAACAAAATGAATAATTGAAATGCTATGTTTTCAATAAAAACTAATTCAAGATGTTTTATTAGACACAAAAACTACTACACATGCTTCTACTTTCCGCGTATTATATACTACAAATGATGATTATGTAAATTATTAGAATTTATTACCATAAATAAATAAAATTGACAGAAGAATGTTGGCATTTAGCTAATCATGATGACTTTTAAAAATACATGATTTGTTTTTATTTAGTTACTTACTTAAATCAAATTAACTATATTCAATAAGAAATATACCTGGTTCGTTCAATTTGTTCGTATATATATATATCAAAATACAAATTAACAATATTTAAAATTCTCAAATGCTCAAAAATCATAGTTTTCAAAATTATAAATATGATGATTCATTCTTTTCTAAATATATGAGGAACTTTGCCCAATATAACAAACATTGCAGTCATTACAATCAATTTTAACTTAGCAGTTAGAGAACTTGTAGAAAGAGGAATAGTTTTTTTTTAATTAATAAAATTATAATTACTGAGTATAAATCGTATTATTAGTCTTTTTCGCTTTTAAAGATTTTATAAAATTCTGCACAATTTTTTTTATAATGTCGCTTTTTGTACTTCGAAAGTGTGTATTTTGATTTTGCAAAATTTGTTTGGTTCAAATTTTTTATAAAAATAATTTTAGTTAAGATATATTATATTTATATAAAAATAGATTAAGAAGGAAAATACCAATCTTTTCATAAACTAGGGCCAACCCTAGAAAAATTTGGGACTGTCTCTGCAAAAATGGGACGTATGGTCATCTTAATATTTTTAGTATACACTTTTCTTCATTAGTCTATTTG